CTTCCCTCTTGCCACAGGCTCCCACTACTACTCTTGCACTGAGATTTGCATGTGTCATAAAACCTGCAGAAAGCTAATGCTACCCCACCAAAAGTAATAAGTTTTCTACCAGTATAACTATCTGATCCAGCTCAGGGTCAGACAAGCACTGCCACCACCGTGATGGGAGAGCTAAGGGGGATGGCAGCAGCCCCAACCATGGACATGCCAGGGTTTTTTAAATGCTGCCTAGCAGCTGCTGTGCTTCACAAGAAGGTGGTTAAAATCAGATATTCACAATGTTAAATAAAGGCAAAATGTTTTAACTACGTGACGGGCTGGTGGTTTTCTCGTGCAAAGACATTTTTAAGCTCACTTTTACAATTTGGAAATTATATGAAATTTTAAGATTGAAGCTTTTTTCCGTTCTTTGAAAACTCATTTACCTCTGATGAGAACAACAACGTGGCTCTGTTGCTGTCTACTTGTTTTGCTAACCAGCGAACATACTTCCAAAGGAAACAGTAAACCAGAAACATTTTCATTTCATACTGGGGGAAAAAAAAAATCAAATACACTCTCATGTCATTTGCCTAAATCTTGTTTGGACAGCTTGCACGGCTCACAATCTTGCTGTAATCATTCCCTCCTCTGAATTAGAGCGAGAGCAGGAAGATAAATATAATACTGCAATATATGCCTCGATACTGAAGAAGATCACTCTGCTGTGACATGCCTCGCACTTCAGCTCTAACACAATGATATGGTTATCTAAGGTTTGAGGAGACTGAACAGCCTGTAATATATTAACACACTTCTCATTTCGGAGATAGTGTCTGGAGCTGAAGAACAACTCCAATTCACTGTGCCACATTGGTTATTTCCCCTCCAATATTGGGTGTTTTCTCCCCTCTGATCCCCACACCAGGTTTGTGGGAGCAACGACACACTTACCCTGTGCAGGCAGAGCAGCGTGAGCAGGAACCAAGTGCTAGGGTTAAGATCTAGTGAGAAAAGCCCAGAGAGGCACTTTTTCTGCAGCTTCAAATATTAACATTATAAAAGACAACTTGCAGCAACTCCTATTTTTAAGTTTCTCAAAGGAGCTTTGAGATAATTTTAAGAAGCCCACTGCCTGTAAGACATTTGACATCCAGAAAGGAGAACAGTCTCTGGCTGCAGAAGCATTTTTTCTTTTCTACATTTAAAGAGTCACTGGCACAACGAGGACAGGGAGAGACGCAGAGCTCGGGGTTTCATTTAGGGTTGGTTTTTTTTTTAACTGACCCAGCTACAAGCCTGGCACCTGTCTACAGCTTTGGCTTCCCCTGAAACCAGTCATGCTTTTGCTTGTTTGGCCAACTGCTGAACTGGCAAAAGCTACCTTTGCAAAACCACTTTTGCCAGAACACCTTTCTGTGTTTGCGTTAGAGGCAAAAAGGTAGATAAAGCTTTTGCCAATGATATCTTGGTCTATTGGAACAGACATTACAAAGTGATAAAATAAACTACCATTTCCTCAGTGTTTTAGCTCTCCAGTGCAAGAGCTGAATTTGCTCCTCATGAAGGAACTCAACAGTAGGTGGATAAGCATGAGATGAAAAGCAGGCTGTGCTGAAGTCTAAAAAAGTGGGGGGGGAGAGAGGTGGAAAAGACATTTCTACAAGGATTTAAAGGATTCCTGGGAAGAAGAGGGGCAATTAAAACATACATGGAAAAGCTCCTCAGTTAGGATGGCATTACTAACTTCTTTTTTTGTCTTTGGCCACTAAAAGTATCTTTACAGGGAGCATTAAAAAAGGAAAGACCTGAAAAGATTAAAACCCACATGTAGCTGGGCCCTCCTGCTTAGCATGCTTGTTAATCCCACAGATCTTGCTGATACAAGAAAGAAAAGGTGATGGGGAGCACACACACTTCATTACAAACTGGTACTTGAAATTTCTCTTAGTTACAGAAAAGTTTTAGGATGCTGGTGACTAATATAACTCCCTAATCCTTGGCCAGCTTCAGAAACCCTTGCCATAAGGTCAAGGTCAGGACAAGGTTAGTGCCTTAATAAAAGAGGGAATATGGCATCGCTAATGGTTGCTTCTGGCTGTTTTTCTCCTTACCTATAACAACGCCACAGTGATTGTTTGCTTTCTTAAAGTGATGCAGACCGCTTTGCTTTACCTGTTGACAGACCCTCACTGCCCACCCCAGGGCACAGCCAGGGACCTGATGGTGGAGATGCAAGATGGATGTTTCATGCTGAAGAACACAAATTTAGGGCTGTCTTCACAGGGAAGTTCAATGAAGGTGGAAGAATCCTGTTAGCATGCAATTGCATAGTACCTTAGATAACCTACTATTTATTTTAATGTTACCTACCTGAGGGAGGCTCCGCTAATGAATCTATTTTTGTAGTACCATAAAGGTTGAAGTTTAGAGCTAAGTTTAGAGCAGAGACATATAAAAAATGTCAAACCAGGAAATAGCTTAATGAAAGCAGAGAGTAATCACAGCAAATTACAGTGAAATTTCTATGGGATTACATTTTGCATTCCCCAAACAAGCAGAGGAATTCATCTCACTTAGTGTCATTCCATTTTGCTGAGAATTCATTGTAAGGATAAGTATGCTATGTAAGTAACATAATGCAATGCCATAAAAGCTGTCTTAAAAGTTACAGTCTAAGATGCTTTTCAAAACAGAGTTCAGATTTCTTCCCTCTGCAGTCCCTGGGAAAATAGCAAGATATGCCACAAAACATCACAGAGAAAAAAAATTAATGGTAATATCAGGAGAAATACAAGGCACATGTTTGATTTTGTGGCTACTAATAATGAGGTCCCTTTCTGAACTCCAACGTTTAGAAACCAGCCAGCAGTAGATGTGGTAGGGAAGTTCACCCCAGGAGAAGAAAGCTGGTATTCCCCATGTGCTTCCAAAAATCACTGCAGAATTTAATCTCTCCCCACTGGCAAACCCAGGTTTTGCATGAGGAGCATCTAGGAAATCCCCTGTGGTCAGCACCTCACCTAGCTGCCTTGAACACCTCCTCTGAAACACTGCATATACAGTTTGCATATATAAACCTTCCTCTCCCACACTTCAGGTTATCTTTCTTTCAACAAGGCTTTACAGCCCACAGTCCATTAACAAAATAAAAGCAATTTCACATTGCTTTTTACCATATGTAGTGGTTTTCTCTATTTTTCAACACGTCTCCAACATGAGAAGAAGCTGAGAACTTTTGACCTCACTCTGTTACTATTGCACAGCTCTGGATGGTTAGTTTAATGAAAAAAACGTGTTGACTTTCGGGTAACAATGTCACTGCAAATCTCTCAAGGCTAATTCTTGATGGCAGCCACTGGAACGTGCACAGAGCCGCAGCCTGACCCTATTAATGGCAACACAAGTTTCACCACTAAATTCAGCAGGACCTTGAACCGGTCCATAATGAGTAACGTGAAATAAGATCTTAGTCCATAAGGCAAAAAAAAAGCAGAAAGAAGTGTGTGAACGGGATATTGTATATTAACTGTAAGGAGAGGAAATTAATAAACCACAAGCATGCCGTATGTCTGCTTAAAATTACCTGTGAATATTTTACATATAAGGTCTGTATGTTCTGCTACAGAGCAGTTACCCTTTCAGAGGACAGTATTTTGCAACAGAAAAAGCCTCTTATATACAGCATTTCTTAAGTTTATAGAAACAGATACAAAAGCAAAAACAATATTAAAGACCCCACAGGTGTACAATTTAATACTGTCAAAATTGACTTACAAATGCTTTGGTGTTTTAACCCCAAATTATTTCCCCAAATTTCCACATTTTCTACAGCACTAAGCCACAGAGTTGTGCTGTCCTCCCACTCTGCAAGCTTGGAGGGAGGGGCAGGAAAACATACAAAATCTGCCTAGAAGGTTTTGCAATCTTTGCCTCACTACAAGTGGTGTGGACTGACCCACATTTTGCTAAAAATTAATGGTGTGCCTTCTTAAAGCATGCTAGACAGAAATATGGCACCTGTGGCTCCCATATTTTCATCTACAAAATCCCAAATAGAGCTAAAACGTACAGTACTTTTTTCAGGGCAATGGCAGTCAGCTTTCCACACCCGTGCTGGATGCAGAGGTTGAAAGGGCAGTGTGTACATAGTGGCCGTTTTTCCACACACCTCAGCTGGAGAGGCAGAGATGCTCCGAACGGCCTCCCAGGCAATATCTGGATGGGAGGTATGTCTAGGCACAATCCTCATGCTGTTACCATAGCAAATACATGCTTATCAGTTGGTACAGTGCCTAAAACAAATTCTGAGGCTACTGATTTAAAACCAGATCATCTCATACTGATACCATCCCTGTGCATTCATGGGTTGGCTTTCCACAGGTCAAGAGATCCCAAACGACTTTCGAACTGAACACCAGCTTTTCCCTGTGGCATAAAACATTTTGAGACTCAAACTCTGCAAGACACAGGGTAAGAGTTGCAATTGCAAGCTCGGCCTTCTACAAAGATCAGCTCAAATGCAGCGTTACAATTAAAGAACAAGCTCCCAGGCGCAGCGGGGACACCACCTCATGACCATGTCCAGCTCCTGTGGCCAGGCACAGCAGAAGGGTGGACCATGGACCAAGTAACTGGTTACTTCCCAGGCTGGGAGTAGGAAGGTGACAACTCATATATGTGAACAGGAGACATACGGCAGGGGAGCTTGAGGCTGGTGTCAGTTTTTGTGACTCATGTCTCATGCCTGAACTTGACAGATCATGAGACTTTTCATCTCTCAGGAAAGTCTTTGCTAATTGGCATACAGAAGCGAAGACTCAGGGGACCTTCTAGTTTTTGGGGTTTTTTTTTAAAGCACAAAAATTGGCACGTTAAGAAAAGAAAGGTCTTCATGGAAAGCTAAATCAAAACCCAGAATCTCATTTAGCCTCTCCACTTCCAGACAAGGCTGAATTCAGGAACAAAGAGCAAGCAAGAAAGAGAGAGCACAGAAATGAAAATAAGAAAGTTTTCATTACCTTTTCTGCAAGCCAGCCTAGATGTCTAATCTCTCGACTTCCAGCAATCCCTGTTTTACCCAGCTGGTCTCTGACCTCTGCAATCACCCTGGGGATGAGCTCATTGACACTGGAGTGGATGGCATTGAACCAGGCCTGGGCTGTAGCCGAATCCTTACTCCTGAGCACCACGGTGTGCTTGGCATCAGGTGAATGAACTTCAATAAGTCTAGAAAAACGGGTGGGGAAAACGTTATGTTCACTCAGATACCATTAGGCGGCAAAATTTATTACCTTGCTTAGAGTTAGCAATCAGTTAAAAAGCAGAATGTCAAGACCTAGCATTAAAAACTTACCTTTACAACACCTGAATAGAGTAGGATCATCTTAACTGAAACTAGGCCTGTACTGGCATTTCAGTAAAATCCTTGAGAAGGGGCCTTCCCAGTGTTGATGCAACCCCACATCTAGCACATCAATAGGAGTTTCAAATATGAACACAAGAGGAGCATCCACACATTAACATTCACCAACACAGCAACCATCCAGAACTGCACGGGAGATGACTGCAGAGAAGCCAGGGATAAGCTGCTGCCTTCTTTAGCTTGGTATCACGGCACACCCGGAGTTTCTCAATGTGTTTATTTTACGCATACAGAGCTAAATGAAAACCACCTTCACTCCAAATGGAGGAGTTTTCTTAGGACTGTGCTGTGGTTTCTGTGACACCACTAAGCATCAACCAGAAGCCCACCGCAACTGGCCTTCTCCAGGAGTTACCAACCCCCTCAATGCTCATTTAGAGCCTGCTAACAGCGGCAACAAGAAAGCGCTAACTGCAACCATGTGATTGCTGCTGGCAGGCATCTTTTACAGTTTTCCAAACTCCTGTGGAGACTTTTTTTTTTTCCCCCCAAAAAACCATGCTTACTAGATCATCCTGTGGGCTTCCACCCTACCACTGTGGTTCAAAAAGCACAAATGAACACAGTTTTCAGGAAAATTAATCCTGTCCATCATGGTTATGGGACCTGTGCCAGCACCTTTGCTAACAACAACAACAAAAATGCTTTGAGAGGCAGCTGCAGCTATTTCAGCTCTGTTCTCAGTGAAGTTATTAGTTATTAGTGGTGCTTTGTGTGCTCTTTATAGCTTTGTGGGCCACTTTTACTTGAACATTTATTAAATAACCCACAAAGTAATAGTCTTAATGTAGCAATTATAAAACCAAGCCCTGGTCATTGCCCATCACTCAACTCCGTATCACATTTGTGCTTTTTCACTATACACGTACAGTGACTGCCCCTGAACATTACCGACACAAATTTGACCTGGGATCTGAGCCTAAGCACGTACTTCTGTCCTGTGTATTGCTGCCCGATCTCTGGGACACACAACGACTCCTTTCTGTAGCAGAAGGGTAATCAATTCAGTGGAATTTATTCAGGTTGAGGTTCAAAACAGTACTGTAATGCAAATATTTGTTATGCAATTAGAAAATCCTGCAATTTGGAGCTTAACTAACAATTAAGAAGTTTTAATTAATTCATTAAACCAGAGCAGAACCCAGAACAGAGGGTGACTTGATCTGCACAGCTCTCTGGGGCTTGGAGAGTGAGGACCGCTGGTCTCATGTTTGTCCATTTTGGGAAGGGGAGGTCTCCATGTAGACACTGCTCTAAAGATAGAAAAGGTCATGATTTTCCAAACTCAGCAGATGAACTGTGCAGGGTCCTAAATCACTGTTTGGATAGCTTAAAAAGTGGGTCGATTTTTCAGAAAGCGCTGAGCAAACACAATAACGCATGTTTCCTCAGTAAAGCTGCTGGAGCCCAGAGCTGTCTGAAATTAAAGGCTCTTATTTAGCCACTCCAGGATGCACCGAGGATTCAACTTCAGGTACCAAAAGGAAAATTCCTTGTCAGATGATGCAGGTCTGGTGAATAAGAAAACTATGTTTGTAGATAGGCACGTTCCCAAACACACTCTCATTTTTTCTGAACTGCGAGAAAAAGCTGTCTCCCTGACAGTCATGATTTAGCCATTTGTGTCAGATGATCATTACAACCATACACAGCTACCACACCCTGGTCTGTCTTTCTATCAGAAACACTGCCCTCCCACTGCCGTACGAACTTGAGTTTGAACTTCTTCTTGTAGGCAGCTACCAATGGAAACAAACTATACAGACTTGGCTTTTCAAAGTACGTTGTGGTAATCAGGGAAATGTTGCTTATTACTTACAGAGCACTTTTTGGCAGGAGATCTCACAGCATTTTACAAATGAGGTCAGTGACAGCATCTCCATTTCACCACCAAAAAAGTGGAAAGGTGCATAACCCAGACAAGGCAGGGAACAAGCCAGGAGCAGCACTCAGGATTTTCTGCATTCCACCTCCTATTTTCATACTTCTTTTAAAGACAAAAATTATTTGGACAGCACAGCAGTATTGTGCTGGTTTTGAAAAATGTTAATTCACTGTATGGATTGTGTGAAACAACGTTCTTTACAAAGCCTGTGGTTTCTACAAGGGAACTCCCACCTCCAAAGTCGCTGCACATCGTGCAGTAAAAAAAGTGCTGAACAAGGACTATAAAGACTCAGAAGCATGTGCTGCTTTTTCAGATGCAAAGGAACAGCAGCAAACTTGTGTAATTTCTTTTTAAGTTAGAGTTGTAGCAGGCTTTGGTTTAAAAATAAATTATCCAGAGCTGAAAGAGCTTCCAAATGGCAATGCGCTTCCCTCCAATTTGGAAAATGCTTAAATTCTTACTTAAAGCAAGTGAATTAACACACAAACATGTGTTTTGCTGCTTGGGCCTTCATCAAAGTGTACTTCCTCTGTCCTCTAAAATAATGAACATTTAGACAGCTCTTAACAATTCTGTTTAAGGGGTTCTAAACTATGTATATTCTAATATATACACATTCTACTGTGATAGCAGTTGTTGTGGTTAAACCCCAGCCAGCAATTAAGCACCACACAGCTGCTTGCTCACTCCCCCTGAGTGGGATGGGGGAGAGAATAGGAAGAGTAAAAGTGAGAAAATTCGTGGGCTGAGACAAAGACAGTTTAATAGGTAAAGCAAAAGCCGTGCACGCAAGCAAAGCAAACCAAGGAATTCATTCACCAGTTCCCATGGGCAGGCAGGTGTTCAGCCATCTCCAGGAAAGCAGGGCTGCATCACGCCTAATGGTGACTTGGGAAGACAAACGCCATCACTCTGAATGTCCCCCCCTTCCTTCTTTTTCCCCCAGCTGTATATGCTGAGCATGACGTCCTATGGTCTGGAATGTCCCTGTGGTCAGTTGGGGTCAGCTGTCCCAGCTGTGTCCCCTCCCAACTTCTTGTGCCCCCCCAGCCTGCTCGCTGGTGGGGTGGGGTGAGGAGCAGAAAAGCCCTTGGCTCTGGGTAAGCACTGCTCAGCAATAACGAAAACATCCCTGTGTTATCAACACTGTTTCCAGCACAAATCCAAAACACAATCCCATACAAGCTACTATGGAGAAAATTAACTCTATCCCAGCCAAAACCAGCCCATCAATGTATATATTCTAGTAAACATATGCACACACACATACTGAGCCATGCTTGCAAAATGTCATCCCTCAGTGACTTCTTATGGGGCTATTTTGCGGACTGCTTGTCAGTCATCAAAATTTGATGGTGATGCACTTACTGCATAAAGTAAACTGCATAAAGTCTACCTCATGCCCTGAGCTGAGTGACAGGAAGATTGGACAATACATGCTACACTTCTCAAAAGTGAGTTCAAAACAGGAATGAATGCTGCTTTAAGAGCCCTGAAACTCAGTCCTTTTATCCACAGCACTGGTCCAGCCCAAGCAATACATCTGCAAGCATTGTTCCTGTGCAAGCTGCTAGGTAGGGCATCTTTTTTTATTCATACCTTAAGGACGAAAGTCTAAATCCTCAACTGCCTGAACTCTGCTATTGGCTATTGCTATAAGATCGGGGCACTAAACTATCCTTAGGAAACCAGGCTTGCAGATTTCCACTAAAGATCCAGGACTCCTGTCTCTGCAGTCAATTGGGATGGAGATTCTAAAAGAAACTTAAAATCTTCCTGGAAACCCATGGGCTCTGACCGCAATCAGATGCTGAAAGCGCTGTGTCCCTATAAACTCTTCCCTTTTCTGCCTTTCAGTCTACACTGCTTTGATTCACCAGTCCATTTGGATGATGCTTTTTGTATAACAGCTGACTGATTGCATTTCCATATTTTTTGAAAAGCAAAAAAATACCAGTGACCTTAGTAAACTCCAACACTAAAGCACTTTAATGTTTCCAGCAGTCCAGCCATTGTAGCTTTGATTTGTTCCTTGGCTAAACTGACCACCGCTTACTGACTTCTGTTATCTGCAGTTCAGTGATAAAGTTCCCTTAATTCCCCACTGAATTGAAATATTTAGGGCAATGCCACAGCTGTGTTTATTCTCACACTCCACCACAGTTATGTAAATACTGCATATGGAGCTGTTTCTGATAAAGCCTATACCAACCCAAAGGGATTATATGTTAGCTCTAGATGGCTGCCAAGATGCACGGCATCTCTCCAGCTTGGCAATGCATATGAATGATATCACATTTTCTCAGAGATCATTTGGCAAACCTTATAATAAAAGAGTAATTTTCTCTCTCCTTCTCAAAGAGTCCCACTGAGCCGAGGAGTGTTTTCAGCATCCCCTTCTCTATCCGCAGAACATGGGGGTGCCACAAAACCCGGTGCCTCCAAATGCCATAACCTTGCATGTAAGAGGCGAAAACTCCCTCCCTTGCTTCATCATCCAGAGTTTTTACTTTACAGAGGATCAGAAGAAGTGGAAAGCAAATGTTTGATAGACCATACTCATTCCACATTTGATAAGGCCTCTTTCTGTAGGAGTGTTCATTATCTAAGAAATACCTTTTATCAAATCTATTGAAAGCACTTCTCCCACCAGCATTGGCTCAGGACCAAATCAGGCACTGATTTACACTTTATGCCTCTTCCTGGGTCAGATTATGCATTCAGTGACTGATTAAAGTGTGGAGTAAATCCCTTGAAGTTAATGATAAGCTGGAGCCAGAGTTATTTGAGTCCATCACGCTACTTTGATTTTGCACCGGCACAGCCAGGAACAAAACACTCTGCCACTGAGTCTGCAAACTTAAAAAGGGATCAAGGGCCAAACTGCTCACTCTACCTCCTCCATCATTGTCTGCA